TTATTCTCAGGTGGGCTAGGTACCTCATTATTCGTTGCTATGTGAAATGTTCTTTAGTGCTCGTTAAAAACTACAATGACACTGAACAGTAATGCAAGTCGACGGCTGCGATGGCCCGCGGTTAACGCTTCAATTCCCAGTAAGAACAATTTGAGAAAGGACTACATTCCTAACATCATACACAGCATAGATAAAGTTATTACTTTTGTATGAAAATAATAACACTGTAACAGAGTTTTTTCACCTATGAATGAAGTCACCAATTTTAATAAAACTTCGAATCCGTTGTTCCAAGTTATAATTGAACGAGTTTACGAATTGCCGCGTTAACCAGAAACAAAATTACCATTATTTTTGCTGTCCAGCGGGAAAGATTGTCACATGGCCACCGGTGGAGGTACATCATCGTCCTATCAACCAAAAAATGTGCCGGGGCGGGGTGCGCCACCGGTGGACACGGCGAAATTATTCTTTACCTCTTCATAATCATCGCTTTCTATTATTTCTAAATAACCTATTATCTTAACTAAACAATTTTTTACCAGATCTGACTGTATTTAATTGATATCCAATTATTTTTTGTGAAATTACTCCATTAACTACAACGTAAAGAAATACTTTCATAGATTTCTCATAGATGGCGCTACGGCTAAAAAGTCGTTGAAAACCATATACAAAGATCCGACAAACAAGCATATAGAAAAATGCGTAAGGTCCGCTGGTTCGTTCCATGGCTTAGTTGGCATAGCGTATGGCACGGTTTGCTAGAAGACGTCGGTTTGAATCTGGCCGGATCGTAGGAATTTTTTCTGTGTTCATAATTTGCTATATTCATTCTCGTTTTTCTATTAAACAAATTTCAAGTTCTTTTTTCAAATAAATACTTTTTTAACCTTGATTTTTTTACTGTCTTGCACAGTAACAAACTCCACTACGAAAATTTGACTGTTGCACAGGGCGAGAACATTAAATCTAGCACTTTCTCTGAAGGCGGCGTGGGTTTCTTAATATACCAAAAGTCAAGCGTTGTGTGACCAGAGGTGATACACTACATCTGATGGTCCAGCTGTCCGTGCTGTTTCGGTTTCGTCACCATTCGAGGAGATACCTTAAAACCGCGTAGCTAGATTTACATAAAATAGGTCAACGACATCTAGCGGATTATGAGGGAACTATGCTATGAATAAAGATGATTATAAAGTATATTGTACAAAAGAAGTATGTTACAACACCTTGGTGGATCAACGGTTTGCACCGTGGGCGTTCGATTCCCGATAGGACTTGACTGAATTGGTTCTGGTCTGGGTATTCTGGGGCACTCCCTAGAGTGAGTTCTGTTGCTCTGGTAATCATTGTCTAGGGAATTCTCTAGTTCGAGACCAGAATTTTGTATGGCTGTTTGCCACATTACATCATTATTAAAAAAATCAAACTTAGGACTTAAGTCCTCTAATACTCATAATGGAACACGTACACATTTTTATTTGACAAATAGAATTGGTATCTAGCCATCTAGTATTATTATCTATGGCAACTAAAGCCACCAACACACATTTTTGTGTCATATGATAATACGTAGCCACACCGCGCAAGCAATCTCTATGCGCAAAACTCTGAAGTGCCATGTACGCCGTAAGGAAACTACATCATCATGTTTCCAATGCGGCATTGAAGCAGATGTACTTTGCATACTTTCACTCGATGATGTCCTGCGATATACCACTATGTAGCAACTCGACGGAGTTACAATAAGGTGTTTCTTCAAAAATGTGCACTATGAACTATAAATCATAGATAGAAAGATTCAAAATTTAAAAAATAAGGGGCAAGGAACCAGAAAACAGGATGATAAAAAGGTGGGATGACGATGAAGGAAGTCAGTTTTGTAGATATCTAAAAAAAAATCACAATGTGATGACGGAGAACGTATTTTCTTAATATATTTATAATCGCTCACGTGCGTCAAAACCTAAACATTTACAAGCGATGTTATAGACAGAGACCGAGCATTACGAATCGCGGGAAAACTACAATCCGTTACCCACCGTACCGAACTCGTAACGAGAGACCCTCGCTGTATTAAGTCCCCGATTCCACGAACACTCCAATCTTAAAAGTATTACAAACGAAGAAATGTTTCATACCCGACTGGATATCCTTTTATTGTATAGTAAATTCAACATTGTAGAGGAACTTCTTTCCAAGAAATTGTTACTTTTTTAGTAGACTTTTTTATTTTCTTAGTTAAGCGATTTCTATTCAGGTTTATTTTAGTAACGATTATCTCTTACGTATTTTTAATTCCAACATTGTAACATTAATAATATAAAATAAATTCTATAAAGGTGGGTATCCATTAGGTTCGAGTACCAACTGTTCTCCGCGCATCTGCAACTGCTCCATTAGCGGATATGTCCGCAGGAAACGTTGCACTCTCCGCGCGTTGGCGGTTTTTGCGCGAACACAAAGCGGAACGCCGTGTGTTCGTGGACGCGAGCAAAGCAACATTCGTGTTCGCTCAATGTTCAAATGAAAACTGTGGAACAATTGCAGATGCGCGAACCGATGGAGCACTTGGTTTTTCTCACAACATCTCCATTTGAGCGATTGCAGACGCGCGGAGCAGAGTTCATAGGGTTGTTCGTATTGTCGATGATCCCAAACTCACAGGCGGTAAGGTGCCCCTTAGCCTACCGAGAGACGTTGCTTTCTGTGTGTGTTCTACTGTCTTTATTATTGGAGAGTGCTCTGAGGAATTTTTCGAACTGGTGCCACCGTCTCGTTTCTGTTATCGCACCTCCCGCCAAAGGAGTAGAGTCCATCCCCACATCTAAGATGCCTGGCATTGTAAGACCACGCGGGCATCTCGTTCGTTTTGTCCTCGAACCTGCAGGATGTGGAATGATCTTCGTACTGAAGTACCTTTGCGCTGTGACATGGGGTTCTTCAAAAAGCGTGTTTGCAAGGCTCTCGAAGGCTGGCAACGCATAGGCAGCTCATCTGTTGGACAATGTCCATGGGCGACGATGACCACCTATCAAGTAGCTCGTCTGCTCGTTTGCCTCCTTCTTTACATAAAAAAAAGTTGGTGCCCAATCCTATTGGATACGCACCTTTATATATTCTATTCAATCGCCATTCAAGTTCAAAGACAGTATTTGCATAAAAAGGATTAATGTTTACAAAAGACTCCTAGTTGGTTACGGCTGCTAATATAGGTGTGTTACTTACATATATTACACTCAAGTTGGGTAACTTTCAACACTTTTCTCGAGTTTTTAAGGAGATTAAAACAAAAATGGATTGGACGCATTGACTTACAATTATATGGACGTCGGGTCCGCGCTAAAAAGTGTCCGAACTTATAGGGCGTTAAAATCGTATACAGAGCGTCATTCACGCTTTGGTCTCCGTTTGTTCGACTGACAGCGAAGCAAGCAAAATTAGACAGTACTGCGATGACATTACAATTTAAATTCAACGTTTTAGCTTTTTCATATTCCTTTACATGTCACTACGTTTAAATAGGTTGACTTGGGACATTTTTTTCGTGGTTTTTGTATTAGACCTGTCGTCCATTTATTTGTAAGTCAATGATTGGACGAAATAGTTTTTATTCAATACTGAGTGCTAAATTTAGAATAATTTAACTAACATGACGAATTGGAAAAAATAACTGTTTGAGAAAATTGTTCAAAGTCATCCTGATGGTAAGCGACACGCCTGTCATTAACAGTTGCAGTGCCCCTCAGAGTTTTAAATCGCAAAGATCTGAGGGGCACTGCCACTGCGCCCGACACCCTGAGACGTAAGTTGACAAGTCCCATGTGCCTGTAATTTCACCAGCACCCTTGCCGTTTGCAACCGGAATGCAGTAACGCTCATATTACGACTTGGCGGCTGAAATAGGTAACGTAGCTTACTTTCTTGAACGACCTCTTTCACAAGACTACTGCTACTAAAACCTGATACTATTCATAAAACATGCTAGTATTCATTACAATCGATGAACATGTGTAATTGTGGCTAATGCTTTCTAAATTGGACATAGTTATGCAAACAAGAACCAACCCACACCTTGAGTGAAATTATGTATTTAGGTAGAACACCAGACGTGTCCTATACCCGCTCACAAAAGGTCCTGGCAAAATACCAAGCCAAAACGGAGAAAATAAAAGTCCTTCAGGGTACCAACCCTAAATAAGTAACTTTTTAATAGCTAAAAAGAACCATGCCGCTCAACTTCATAAGGTATTTTTAAAATATGCTAAATAGGTCCATTTCACATGTACTGAAGTAGATCTTTAGCATTTTTCATTACGAAAACTAGAACATGGTTCTCGTTAACAAATAAAAAGATGCATAATGTTTGCTATTTATTGCTTTATAATATAATAGTTTCCCTATATCATTCTCCATGTTACCCATAACTCACGTTGTTTGTCTCAAATAACTTGCCTATTTATTTCTTCACACTGTTTTTACATAAGTCTAATTATTTCGAAAGTGACATTTTGTGGGTAGGTTCTAGTTTGCATAACTATGTCCAATTATACGTGGTTCTCATGCGTTAAAACAACGTTCATTCTTACGAGGGAAGACTAAGATTGCAAACACAATCCTGCCTTAAATTAAAATCACAAGTACTAATTATATTTTGTAATTTTTTGTCCCTCATTTTTTGAACTTACAAAACCGGAACACAGTAACGCTGACATTACTGCTTGGCACCAGAAATAGGTAAGGGGCTACTGCTCCTATTGACTACAAGTTTTTTGAGAAAAAAGACAAATCGGTAAACCAGTTTTATTCAAAGATCCAAGGAAGGCCAAAGTTACCAGATAGGTGGCAGTACTTCACTGGATGAACCTTTTCACAAGGTGCTATACTACTACTACGCATTAAATATTGTACGCCCGCAGCGGAATTAAGTTTCAAAGATCGTATGTCTACGACAAATTAATTTCAAAAATTCTATAATATATATTTCTTTGTTTCAGGGGACCAAAATTCCTCAAGAGAAAAAAATCCGATCAACGTATACAATAAACCAAACGTCTACCTACATTTTTTTAGTCCTGTCTCAATTTACCTGTACAGTATAGTTAGCTTTTAAATTTCTACTCCCTAATGTTTCAATGGTATGTAAATAAAGTGTAAAAATAGTGTAAAAAAAGTGAGAAATGAGAATTGACTCGGTTTTGGTGCTAAAAAGTGATAGCGCATGGAATTGAATGCCGTAGATTCGTGTCTTCGGCTAAGCAGAGATATTACAACCAGGTGAGCTCAATCTACATTAAAAACTTTTCAAAAGACGTTTGTATAATAATAGCTATAGATTTAAGGCTGTGTTTGTATGTTGTGTGTTTTATTTGATTTATATATGACAGGCAGACATCGAGTATATTATCATCGTCAGAGTATATCATCAGGCAAATGGGCGTTATATCACTTTTAAATATTAACTCTCGTTTGCGCTGAAATCACAAATTAGAAAGCTGAAATAGTACAGCGCCAACAACTGACCTGTGTGTACGTCTCCGTATATTCCAAAAATATTCTGTATTTATTATAATAAAGATAATATCTCTAACAATGGGGGGCTGTTGCATTCGGTGGTATGGGAAAAACAGCAAAACATCTAATTACAAAACAAACGGAATCACATTTCATCGGTAATTAAATATTAAATATATAATTTTTCAATTTTCGTCCATTATACATAACGCAATTTGGCTAGCATCAAATATGATAATATATTATACATGTACAATACAACGGCAGTAGCCCATTCGGAGTACGATGGCTTCATAATAGAGAAGTTGGCAGCGCGAAACCCAGTGACGACAAGTACCTTTGGGTATAACACGTGAATTTGGTTAAGTAGCATGATCTTATTTTTAGTAGCATTCTCTGAAACCTGTAATTAAAAGTGAACTCAAAAGATCGCGATAGAGATCCGATCTCTTATACCATACCACCGGGGTTTTTGACATTATAATAGAAACTGAAAAAATTCACAGACGGTATGGAGCCCCTTAGCCTACGGAGAGACGTTGGATTTCTGTGTGTGTTCTACCGTCTTTATAAAGGGAGTGGTTTGAAGAACTTTTGGAACTGGTGCCACCGGTCTTAGATACCTGGCATTGTAAGACCACGCGAGCATCTCGTTTGTTCCTTCCTCGCACCTGCAAGATGTGGAATGATCTTCCTCCTTAAGTGTTTGCGCTATGACATGGGGTTCTTCAAATAGCCTGTTTACAAGGCTCTCAAAGGCTGGCAACGCATAGACTAGGCTAAGCTTATCTGATATTGCAAATGACCATGGGCGACGGTGACCACCTGCTATCAAGTGGCTCGTCTGCTCGTTTGCCTCCAAAAACGGTACGATGGTAGTACTTCCCTGAACGAACTCTTTCAAATTCTACAGCTACTATTTATTATTAAATTTATAAAACACATTAGTAACGTGATGGACTTCCTGTTTATGTTCAATTTGGAAAATTCCGCAACGCGCCGAAACGGCATATAATGAAAATCGTTGATCTTTGTTAATTATACTTAGCACGATATAAGGAACTTACCCGTATACGTTTGAAAACTTTGCCTCTGCGCACTTAACAGTACTTTAGACCTCGACTTCGAAGGTCTTGATAAAGTGTTTATTAAATTGTTGTTTTTTCACCTCACTGGCTCGGAGAGGCTTTCTTTCTTATTAGAAATCTGCGCGCTTTTTTTCCACTGCGCAATTTGTCGTATATTATTTGTGTAATAGAAATCCGTTGGTATATTTTATTCTTATTATTGTTAACATTAGATTTACAACGGTAACTGATAGTGTTTTTGTTAAATTATTTTGGGTCACGATAGAAAAACACTACAAACTTACCTCGAAATATTATAAGAAAACCGTTATGTTCAATATGTATTTTAATTGAATTAAATACATACACGTATAGTATACGATTTCTCAAATAGCTTTCATGTCGTTTGTAAAAAATTAAATTCTGAAATAAAGGCAGTGCCCCTGCCGCGGATAATCTTTTGCTACTTTGAACTTTGATAATTACCATCTAATTTGAAATATAGAACACTAGTAAAAGTAAAAACTAAACAGAAAGACTGCTGTCGAAGATAGCAATTTACTTTTACGAGTGCATCGACAGCTATAAAAGAAATGGATTCATTTCCTCCGTGGACAATGGAGGAGCATCAAACGTTCGAGCTTATTTCATTTATTCTTTTCAGTACGACATTTTCGGAGCTAGTTTTACCACAACACAAAATCTAAGTCTAATAATCATTAAAAGTAAAAGTAAAGTAAGCTATTGCTCGTTTAGTACGCTGACCTCCCTGAGAAGAACGAGGAAAAAACTCTAGGGATTGCCATTTTCAAATAAACTTAAATGCTATGGAATACACTTTGAATCATGTAGTCTTTCCATACATCTTTATCTAACACATATTCTTCAATTTTATAACGTGACTTTCAATTAAAATACTTTTAGTGTAACTTTTAAACTTAGGAAATGATAATTTTAACATATGCTCCGGAATCTTATTGTAAAAACGTGTACGGTTGTTTACCTTAGTTAAACGAAATCGTGGTACCATGAGTTTGGTCGTTCTAAGGTTAATATTATGGATATCTTCTTTCTTAGATGCAATTATGTATATTTTTACGGGCATACAAACTATTTGAGTAAATGTAATGTGATGCTACAGTCATGATACCAGTCTCCTTAAACTTTTCTCTAAAAGAAACCAGAGAACCTCGTAGTTGCATCACAAATATGGTTTCTATATCTGCCGCTTTACCCCACATGAGAATCCCGCAGGACACTATGGAAGTATCTAAAGTAAACCTGTGTAGCGGTAGCAACATGGGTAAGCTCACAGATTCTACGGACTGCGTATGCAGCAGAGCTTAATCTGCTGGCTAAAGAAGATATATATGGTCATTAATTTGTTAGTTAAAAATAAACCTGCTCGTTAATAAGCAGTGATCGGGATTGAGGGAGTTAATTTTAGTGATGAAAGAGTATTTTACGGCCTTTTAAAAAACCTCAAATAATTTTTAACGCCTCACGACTAGTCTAGTCTTTTAACACTCAAATCTTGAGTCATAAGACTAAAACTGAAGACTAATTCAAGTCGAAGTCTTTTAACCCTAGGAAGCCTAAAAGACTTATAGGCCTAAAAAGACTAAAAAGACTAAAACGACTGGCGCCTCAGAGACTCTAGAGTCGCGAGTCATGAGCCGTGATTTTATTTCTACCCACAAGGTATTTATTTTACGATTTTTATTGTGAGTAAATAAACGTGATTATTTACATACTACTTACGTCATTTTTATTTATAAACTTCGGGTTTAACAAGATATAAAATAGGTATAAGTCCTTTGCAAACAACTCGAGCCGATTTTCAAGTCTTTCGAGTCTTGTAGTATAACGACTGAGTCTTATTAATAAAAACTCAAATCCCCAGTCTTAATTTTAGAGTCGAGTCCTTTAAAATGGAATCGAGTCGTTATAAAGCGCCTTAAAAAGACTGCGTCTCTTCCATCACTAGTTAATTTACTAAAAGTATGTACCTACGTTTTCTTAACATGGACATACCAATTTGATCATCCATCCGTATAAAATTTCTATTTTTAGGGCGCGCTTATTCGACACGAATTTCATAGCGCTCACGCCGCCCGGTGCATCTAACTGTCCTGGCAAAATAAGCTCTATTTGTTTAGCTTTTACGTTTTAAATTAAAATAACGTCTTTGGTCTACGCGGCGTCGGTTGTATTGTTCCGATGAATTTAAGTATTGTTGCCTAGTAAATAGAATTCAGATTAGCCATTAATGTACGTGAAAGCGTGGCGCTTATTATTTATTTCCTAAACATTCCAAAATATACATTGTCTCATGTTTGTTTTTCAAATGGCTAAAGTATTTCAATACGTAAAAGGAAATAATAATTTGTCGTCAACGTACTCAAATGTCAATAAATAATACGCGCATTCAAGTATAACTAGCTTTCAGTTGCACCCGACCTCCTCATCCAGCAACCACATTGCTAACTGATTATCCACTAAGTTTGTCAGAACATAAATCCTTAATATGATTCATGATTCATAACGTTAAAAAAACTGCTAAAAACCGTTATTGATAATATAATAATCATGCTAATGTATTTGTTTTATCGCGCAAACAAGTAACGGAGAGGAAGCAGTGCGGACTTTTAACTATAAATATTGAAATAGAACTGACAGGGGAATGCCAGTGGAATACACGATTGAATTTATTGCGACTGTAAAAACAGTATGAGAAAATTATTATGTAAAATACGTTTGAAGTTGTTACATTCACGGAACACATAATATTTTTTACATACATAATGTGACATAGCAATAAAATAAACAAACGGTACCACGCTCTTAAAACTTGAATTGAACTCTTAGTTTTTGTAGTCACTGCCATGACACTACGTGGACCTTAGCGCCACACCTCTTAATACAGATAAGTTTTTTTTACGAGTGTTTGATGCTCCCTTGTTTATTTGCGGAAGATAATATTATGATGATTGGAGGAGAAGAATACAAGCACAAAAACTTCAACAATATTTATTTAATAAGAACAAATAATATTATATGTACTGTACAAGGTTAAATTAAGGTCATTACATATTTTTTCCTATAAAAGTAGTATCCCATTATAGGTTATAGACATGGTTAAAAGACATTCAGAAATTGCTTTGACAGCTCTTTACATCAGCTGTCAAAGCAATTTCTTGTTGTCCGTAGGGATGGAAATGGCATTCGCTACAATAAGAACAGAAGCTTTTACTCCATATAGCACAACGATACTCGTGACCACCTAGCCCTCTCTAACATATGGTAAATACCGTATCGGGGACAGCGATCTTTTGATGTGGACATGGCGAATGATCTGGTGGAGTTTCGACTTAATAATAATGCTTACGATTCTACCTAGGCGAATGATTTGCCCATTCAAATGATTAATATTAGTCACATTCAAATTTGCACGTTGTCATGTTACTCTTGCCTTACGTAGAGGTCCCGGGTTCGATTCCCGACGGGGTAAATAATTTTATGTCCTACATTTATTTCTCTCGTGAGTTTGGATGTAATTTGTGGTTGTCTATGTGTGCGGGATATGAATGTGAAATTCACAGTAAAATTTAGCATTTTCTGAAAAAATCTCAGATAATAACTCAAAAAAGAACCTATTTAGGATTGGACCACTATTCTTGCACCAAGCAGCAATAT